GTCTCGGTTACTGCGTTTTTGGTTTTCACTTGTATTTCTAGCATTTCTATTCTAATCTCCCCGTTTCCATCCCTCTACTGACATTCCCTCATCTGCTTATGCATAATAGTACCTCCCTTTTCCACGAGAACAGGTCAACACCCCAGTTATTTTAAATTCCTTTTCTGGTGTCTCTAGGATCCGACTTACCTCTGTGTTTGGTCCTGTGTCCTGTGTCTGTGACACTTTTTCGTGTGCTGTATAGGTTTCTGACGCTGATGCAGACTGGTAGTGGCCGGAGGAAAAAACACCTCTGCCTGGCAGCCGGCTGCCTCCTCCAGCTCTGAGTGGTTAGAGGGGGGCCCGTTGAAGTCTAGTCGGGGGCTGAGCGGCACAGGGTTCGCTGCTGCGGTCTCGCACATGCACCTCTGCCCTCAAACTCCGCCGGTGTGACCCTGCTGCTGGCCGCGGGCTGTGGAGTCCCGGTCGTAATGGTGGTTGTTTTTGCTGTTGTTTTCTTCCACGTTCCTGCGCTAAATCCTCGCACCTGTGGCTCCGAAGGCGTCTCCACGCCCCTGACCCTCTCCAGCAGTAGGCTATTGCTTGTAATTTGGTGATTAATGACTCGACGCAGCCTTGAGAGTGATGCTGTTAGTAAATGTGTTGATTGTATGAAATTTTGCAACCCACGACACAATCAAAAGCATTTCCTTCCTCTTTCTCAACTTCCGGCAACGCGGTCAGTGTTCCACACTCTTCTCCTTGGACGATTTCAGCTACCAGGCTTTTGTGTGTGATGCTTGTGCACTCGTGGTTTAGGGAAGGCAGAAAAAATCATGGAAAGAAGCGCAGTTACGAATTGGAAGATTTGACCTGTTGCGGTTCTGACTTACCTAAAACTCGAAGCGGCTTTGGGTCACCCACTGCAACTTTGTCGTGTTTTTTTTTTCTCTCTCTCACAAGACAGACATGGGGGGTTGACCTGTAACTGCAGCGTCAGAAATTGCAACTTCCAAATTCTGTGAACCCAGCACAGGAAATTCCTTGATTTACAACCACTGAGAGACTGCTTCTCAAGGTCCACCAGAGGCAGCTCTCCCAGATCGCCTGCTCTCTGAACAGAAATTCCAAGGCCCTCTTTTTACCTGTTCACTTTGGTTTTTCTTTTACATACATATTTTTTAATCTTTATTGAACCTATTGGTGTGACATTAGTTAACAAAATTATATAGGTTTCGAATTCACAGTTTGTGTACAGTTCTATGATACATCATCTGTACATCGTGTTGTGGGTTCCCAACCCCAAGCCAAAGTCTCTTTCTGTCACCAAAGTCACGGAAACCGAGAGTAGGCTGGCGGTCACCAAGCTGGGGGACCTGGGAGCAGGTGGTTAAAGGTACAAACTATAGGACACAGTACTGTATTGTATACCTGGAAGTTGGCAGGAGAACGGGCCTTAAAAGTCCTTCCCCCACACACCAGAAAACGGTAACTGCGTGGTGATGGATGTTAATCAGCCGTGTCATTGTGGTGGTCACTTTGCGATGTCTGTATGTCAGAGCATCACATCGTCACCTCCCACTGACACAACATCAATTGTATTAATAACGTGGGGGGGTGGAGCGGAGGTTGTGCCTCCACCTTGTGCTCCTTCTATACCCACTCGCCGTGGGGGAGCCAGCTGCCATGTCGTGAGGACATTCAAACAGCATTTACGAAACGGCCCACCTGACAAGGAAAAGGGGCGAGGCCCCCGCCAACAGCCAGCATCGACTCCCCGCCACCCAAGTGAGCCACCCTGGAAGGAGACCCTTCAGAGGAGGTTGCTGGGGTCCGGGCGAAGTCCCCACTGAGGTCCCAGAGAGACTCCACTCCGCTTCCTTACGGGCCTGCATTTCCTGTTCTTTGAAAAATGACAAAAACCAGCCCCTGACCGAATTCTCTCTGTTCCAAATTCCTAAGCCACAGAGAACGGAGGTGCTTTTTTTAGGCACCTGTCTCAGAAAAGACTCATGCTGTCCCGAGTTCCTGGTTTCTCAGGAGCTGACCGTGACCCCATTCCTCAGCATCGGCTGGTAGGTGACAAGGGACACGTAGGGGCAGGGTGGCATGTGGACCTGGGATTCAGGGAACATGGGGTCCAGCAGCGTAACAAAGAGAAGAATTTATGCTTCTCCATCTTGTCCCTTCAACTGTGCTCTAAAAAAGGATGCTTTCATGAATAACCAATTTTTTAAAAGAATTTATTAAGCTATTTTTAGACAGAGGAAAAGGTAAGGAGAAAGAGGGAGAGAAACATTGATGAGAGAGGAAAGCATCAGTTGGTTGCCTCCTGTACATCCCTGGACCAGGGACCGAAGCCCCAACCCAGGCGTGTGCCGGGACCAAGATTCAAACCAGTGACCCCTCGCTCTGTGGGATGACAGCCAACCAACTGAGCCACACTGGGCAGAGCACGAAGCACCAATTTTTAAAAGGCAGCAAGTACCTTGCCAAGCAAACCTAAAAAACGTGTGAGCTCCCAATGTGGATGGGACGGTTGTTTTCGCTTCAATTTCAACATCTTACTGGTACTATAGTTTAATTTCTGGCTTCAGATTTCTCTATGAATTTTCCAAAAGAAACTTTGGAAACTAGACTCCCCCCACCCCCCCGATTTTAGGTGCTTGGAAAGGCCAAAGACATTCTGCCTCCGAGCTTTCTCCCCCGTGTGGCCAGGAGGGACTTCTAGGGCGGGAAATACTCTGCCCACTTGCCGGACTCCCTGGGCAGAGGGACCAGGCCTTCCCCACCTCCAGTGGCCTCCCACTCGGAACAAAGAAAGGCAAGGCAAAGCAAATGTCACTGACTCTGAAAAGCAAAGCTCAAAGGATGAAAGTTGTCACCTGCCAGCTGGACGCAACACAAAAAGACATGAAACCGAAAACAGCTGACGGGGGCCCGTGAAGCAGGGCTGGGGTGTGTGTCTCCTGGTGCTGGACACACCCCTGGAAGTTTCTGGCGGACGCAGACAACTTCCTCCGAGCGTTCCGGAGATTTTTTGATGCGCTCTGCAAGAACGTGCCCCGGCCTCCTCCGACCTCCTGAAGGTTTGGTGAATCCCGGGCGAACTGAAGAAACCAAAGTCTGGCTTAGATCCTCTCAGGTGACGGGGTGCTGGGGGCGTGGGTGGCTTCATCAAAAAGTTTCTTTTGACCCCCTTTCCGGCTTTTTTCCTGTAGAGGCGCACCTGTAATTTTCATGCACTTCCCATGCTAATTTTGAATAATTTTGAATCTCTACATTAATGCATCAAACCTATTGCTATTGGGCACCCATTACATATCAGGCACTGTTGTGGGCTCCGCACAAAGAACAGTGGACAAAACAGATGAGACTTCCTGCCCTAAACACCCAGAGTCCAAGCCGCAGAATTCTCACTCCTGGGGACAACTCGACCTTAGTAAAATGAAGCTGGGCAGCAGCAGAAAAGAGACGAGGGACAATTTCTGGCCACAAAAGTCCAGAGCAACAGCAGGAGCCTCAGTGCCACCATTCCTGTGCAGATCAGGCGTTTGCTCACCCTGGGAGGGCAGGGAGGGGAGGGAGGGCTCAGGGCCGATGGTAACACAGGCAGCACTTCCTCACCCTGCTCCCCAAGTCCTCTGGGAGCGTCCAGGTGGGGAGAGGCAGAGGTGGGGCAGACCCCTACCACCCCCCACCACCCACCAGAGCTCATATCTCAGAGCTCTCCTGCACCCCTTTGCAGGGCTGTGCAGTCCTTACTGCTAAATTCATAGCAAACACTGATTATTGGCATAGCAGCTGATCCATCATCTAGTCAATTGTGGGGGTGACTTTGGCCCACTAGGTAGATTGTGGGGGATACTGAATTGCCTAAACGTGTAGCCCCTGACACATCCCAGTGAGTGGGCAGGAAGGCTTCCTGTGCCCACGGCCTTCACCACCAGGGTGGGTGTGGCTGGCGAGCTCCCCACTGCTGGAGCTCGGGACAGACGGGCCCTGTGTGGTTTTCAACCCCTTGTTGTGGTCCAGGCACTGGGGCCTTCTGAGTTTATTTTTTATTTTTATTTTTCCTGTGTTTCTTTTATGCTCTGCTCCACCAGGTCAATAAGTTAAAAGCGCAGAGGTTTCTGCCTTAGAGCAAGTATCTCTGGCTTGTTAGTGAGCTTAACTAGATCCAGGTTGATAGTTGGTGGTCAAGGTCTTGGTAAAGTCTTTGGTTAGTTTGTTTTTTTGTTATGCAAATGATCGGTATCTTAATCTCCTTATCTGACCTTCCTGCTGACCTAATGGCAAGCTGCATACCTGCAAACTACTTATTTGATTTGATTTGTTCATTAAACTAAACTCTGTTCCATGTATTCCCCTGACAGTACCGTGTGCTAAAGAATGTCAACAGAGCAGAGTCTGTATTTGGTGATCAGGGAAGGCTTCCTGGAGGAAATGACATGTAACCCAGGCCTGAAGGGCGGGTAGGAGTTATCCCGGTAAGGAAGGGGAGGAAGAGTGTTCTGGTCCGTGGGAACAACGAGATATGTTGGAAGAATTGAAATGCACTTAGTTTTCAGGAACTCGCAGGAGCCCGTGGGTGAGGGTGGCCGAAAATAGGGACAGAAGAAGTTGGAAACCTGGCCAGAGGCCTTGATATCAGGTTAAGATGCTCAGACTTTATCTTAAGGTTAGATAAGGGCATTAAACATATTAAGGAGGGAAGTACGGTGATCGGATTTTAGTTTTAGAAAGAAGACTCCTCTTCAGATATGCCCGGAAGGTGTTATAAAGGCCAGTGAGATGATCCGATTTGCCTTTGAGAAGACTTCCCTATCTAAAATGGCTGAAGGAGGGTTGCTGCTATGTAAGCAGGGTACCGGTGGTAAGATCTGAAGTGGGAAGGTGACAGGTGACATGCATCTTGAAGGAATCACTCCTCTAAAGGAGCTTTAAAAGCCTAAATGAAGAGGTAACAGGGGAGCCAGCAGGAACCAAAGGGTGGAAGCTGCGATTCAGGACGGCCGACCATGTCCTCCCTGCGCTTCTTCTGCCAGCGCTGCTACCAGCCCCTGAAGCAAAGTCAGTCCGGGGAGACCCAGGGCCTTGACACCAGCCTAGAACCCGCAGCTCAGCAGGAGCCAGGAGACACTCCAGAGGAAGGCCCCACCTCCTCGGCGGAGACAGGTGTTGAAAAGCTACAGGCTGGTGCCTCTGGCAGGACTGGCCCTGGTGATGGCAGGGTGTCCAGGCCCAGTTCCGGCAACTTCACCCTGGTTGGGGAGCTGGGCTCTGGGAGGACCCTCCACAGCATCCAGACGTCCATTCGGGGCACCTTCGACATCCTTTCTGGCGAAGAAGATCTGGACCAGCCCCTGTGTCAGGAATGCACTGACCATCTCTTGGAGCATCTGGACACCCAGCTCATGACCTCCGAGTCCGACAGTCAAGACTACAAACGCTGTTTGGAGACCATGGAGAGAGCTGGTGGCGGCGAGGACGAGAGGGAGGCGCTGCAGGAGGAGCTGAAGGACGCGGAGCTGGAGGAGGCGCGGCTGGCCCAGGAGCTGGAGGAGGTGGAGGGGGACCGAGCGAGGGCGGCTGCGGCTCTGGAGGCGGCTCGGGCCGAGACCGAGCTGCTGGAGCGGCGGGAAAGGCAGTACCACCGGGACTACAGTTGGCTGCGGTGGCAGGAGCTGGGCCTGCTGGACGAGCTCCACAGCGCCGAGAACCAGCTGCGGTACGCCCAGGCCCAGCTGGCCTGGCTGGAGGAAACCGACGCCTGGAGGTTCGCGTTCCAGATCCGGGATGACGGCCCCGTGGCCAGTATCAACAACTTCAGGCTGGGCTGCCTCCCCGCCGTCCCCGTGGGCTGGGGCGAGATCAACGCGGCCTGGGGGCAGGCCGCCTTGCTGCTCCTGGCCCTGTCTCGCAAGGTCGGCCTGCAGTTCCGGAGGTTCCGGCTGGTCCCCTGCGGGAACCGCTCCCACCTGCAGTGTTTAGGCCAGGACGCCCCTGAGCTGCCCTTGTTCTTCCACCAGGGGCAGAGCGGTCCCTCGAGAAGCGCGTCTGACCGCGCCCTGCTGGCTTTCCTGGACTGCATGACGCAGTTCAAGGAAGCGGTGGAGAAAGGCGAGGAGCCGGGGGTCTGCATGCCCTGCCGGATGCATGCGAGGCGAGGCCTCATAGAGGAGCCCGGGGCCGGCGGGGAGTGCTACTCCATCAGAACCCGCTCGAACACGGAGGAGCGCTGGAGCAAGGCCCTCAAGCTCGTGCTGACGAATTTCAAGTGCAGTCTGGACTGGGTCTCCTCGAGGTACCGTCAAAAATAAACGTGTGTTTCCCCTGAGGGAGACGGCTCTGGTCTTGCTGTAGAATATTGTATGTGTGGAAGTCTTAGATCAATGGTAAAACTGAAGCATATAACAGGTCTATCCCTTTGAATAATAAATGGCTACCCAGACGACGATCTAAGAGGGACGAAAGGACTGCCCAGAGCAGATTAAAGCCGTGTAAGATTTCACGTGTACGAATTTGCCTCTCGTACTGCGTTTACCAGCCTGTCTCCTTTCATCCCGATTACCCACCTCTGTCCTGTTCTACCTGCCTCCACCCCCCTTTGCCTCCAGAAACCGCCTTGCTCTTGTCTGTGCCTTTGTGTTGGGGTTGTGTCGTTGTCGTTGTTTTGCTTAGTCCCTTCACCGTTTTCACCCAGCGACCCCCGACCCCTGCTCTCTAACAGCGGCCAGTCTGTTCTCTGTATCTGTGAGAGGTTTTCATTTTTTGCTGTGATGTATAGTGGCAGCCCTCCCCCCGCCCTTCATCCCTGAGAAACGTTCAATAAATTGCTGCACATCCTTCAATGATTTCAGGTGAGAAGTGTGTCCTCGGGCTGTGCCGTTACGTCGAGACTCACCTGGAGGTGAGGGGTTGGGTGCCCAAAGTAGACTGTTTGGGCTGGTAGATGATGAGTCTGAGGCTCTGTTGGGGGTCATGAGGTGAGCCCCTGCGGAGAGCTAAAGATTAAAAAAAAAAAAAAGTTAGACTTTGAAAGGCAAATTGTGTCCCGGTAGGCACAGGCATCTCCTGTGCTCTCAGAACAAAATCTCAAGTCCCTGCCATGACTGCAGGGAGGTGAAGTTCAATGGCATGGCCAGAATGACTTGCTTGTCTAGTCCACCCAGAATCCGAAAACCTGCACTCTCAATGTCTTTACCGAGAGCCAAGAAAGTGAAAAATCGGGCCTGTTAAAAATGTGGCAAACTGAAAAGCACATGAACTGTCCAACGGGGTCAAGGGCTTTGCCGTGGCAGCCAATTCCAGCCTGGAACCCCGGGTCCCTGTGTCCAACTTCTCCGGACAACCTGTATGTTTGGGTGTTTGGGCAATTCCTTGGTTTCTAAACCAGAGCAGCCAATTACAATGTTCTAAAACATTTTGAGTCAAAAACCATTTGGGGGCCACATTTGGCCCGGGGGGCCAATTATTTGAAACCTGGCTTATTTCTGGTGCCTGAAAACTAAATGAGAGAATGGAAAGCAAGGGGTTTTATCAGAAAATCCGACGAAAACAATGTTATTTTTTCCTCAAGGAAGTGCAAGGAGGAGAGATCTCCGCTCTCTTAGGTGGGGCACTGGGAGAGCTAATATTTACTAAGGTTTGGCCTTCGATCAGCAACTGGAAATAAGCAAGATACCTCACAACTCCATGATCTCACTGCATTTTTTTCTTGTGATGACAACCTTCGAGACATACTCTCTTAGCAACTTTCAAATCCACAGCTCAGAGCTGACTAGTCACCATGCTGTGCCTCAGGCCCCAGGACTTAGCTTATCCCATTCCTGGAAACCTGTACTTTATCCAGCTTCTCCCATTTCTCTTATCCCCGCAGCCCCCATGCCTCTGGCAACCGTTGATCTGTTCTCGGTATCATTCAGCTCAGGTCCTTTGCTTTTGGTTTTGTTTTTTAGGTTTCACATGCAAGTGAAAAAAGCAATAGTATACTAGACACATATCTACAGACTTTAGTTTGAAAAATGTAACTCAAAGTTGAAAAAAATCCCAGCTCTCCAGCTGTCCCTGATAAGCTAAATTCATTTAGGGAACTAGGATATTTTTCAGGGGAAATACCCTAAATTCATATCAGAGAACTAGGTATTTTTCTTTAATTGTCTCTTGTGTAACATAGAGGTAATAGTACTAACTTCACCTAGTTATGCGGATTCAGCGGAAGTATTTACATGCTCAGTAAAGTACTGGGCACATTTTGTTGCCGTGACTGTCACCATAAGAATGAAGATCTTGTAACCGTCCTTGTCCTTTAAAATTGCGTGTATTTATATGACTTATGTGACCATGTTTATGTCATAAATTTCTGCATAGGGAAATTCCGAGTGAATGAATAGGGATAATTTCTTTAATCCTTATTGTATTTTTTCTATTACCATTTAGTCCCCTTACATCCCCCTGCCCCCATTTCTTAAATTATAAAGTTTGCTGTACCTTGTTCCACACCAACCACAGCCAAACCCAGCCTAACACACTGCAGCCAGGAGTGTGAGTGGAGGCCTTGTACTGTACGTGCAAATGCCTAAAATAAATCAAACTACAAACTGTTCTATAAAATACATCCTATCTGCCCACCATGACCAATGTACCTTCATCTTTACCCAGAAGGCCAGGTTCAAGTTCAGTGTTCTGGAGTGCCTTGAACTTGCAGGCCTTCCCTGCAGGTCACCCGTGGACCATGTCCTTTTCTCTCCCCACCCTGGCTCCACTCCTCAAAGAGCTTCTGGTGATTCCATGTGGACACAGTGGCTTCAAGCTGCACTCGGAGCCCTGCCATCGGCCTGCAGCTCGCTGGCCCTCCAGGCCAGGGGTGTGAACCCCAGGGCCCGATCCTTGCTGTCTGGGGACCGAGGAAGGTGGGCTCTCTGGTCCCCACAGGAGCAGTGAGCCACTAGCACCAAGAGGTCAGGGTCCCCGATTCCTGCCTTCTCTGGAAGGGGGGGACGCGGCTCCTATGTGAGCCTGTCTTCCTAACACGAGCTCTAAAAATGTGTACTCATCCACTGCATGAAAAAAATGTCAGTGTTGTTTGTTTCTACTGGAATTTCTAGAGCCATTGTTAAACCTTTGGCATTTATAGCCCATTTGGATTTCCTCTCTTGTAAACTAAGACATTTTTTACCTATTCTCGGGGTTCAGAAATGCCCAAAAAGTAGTTGTCCAATACGCATCACACGCCCTCAGGTAAAGTCCTGAGCAGGTGAGTTTGAACTGTCAGAAAGCTCCTGCCGGCCGGAGGGGAAGGTGGGGTTTGGTAGGACTGCACACCTCCAGGGGGCTCCCCTTTCACTGGCTACACGTGGAATGGAAACCCCCGGAAGTGTGCGGCATGGCGGTTCTGGATTCAAGTGTTGGCTGAAAAGTCGCTAGGAACAATGAAAGAGTTTTACTTGTGAGCATCCACCAAAGGACGCCTGAATGGTCAGTCAGCTCAGAATGCTGCGCTGCTGTGGGGAGGAATGCAAAACGATCGTCACAAAGGGAAACACACCCAGCAAAGCCCTCCTGCTGCCATGGCAACCGGAGCTCACAAATGATGCAATTGTAAAGGCAGCTGAGTGTGGGAACGTGGGACTGCTCCTACGGAGCTGGCACCGAGGGGTGAGGGCAAGGTTTCATCAGGAGGGAAATGGGGACCAGGCGAGGAAAAATGTACGCTAATCCTGGTCACAAAAATAAATCCAGGCACAGCTGTTCGCTGAGAGAAGCGAAAGGGGAATGACGTGTATTTCACTTTTGCGTGATGTCTTTCCCCAGCGGTTACTAAAACACACTGGTCTGCTGTTCCTTCCCCCGAGCACCGTGCTGGGGCTGCAGCCACTCGCTTTATGGGCACTGCGGTCGGCTCAGCGACTCATGAGCAGGAGCGAGAGGGATAAGACGCTCCCCAGCAACTGGACGTGGCCCTCTATGTTGCCAACTTGTTCCAACCCCCAAATCCTCGCTTACCAAAATTTCTCTAACTTTATTCAGGGACATTTAACAACTAAAGAAAAGTTTTCTCTCCAAATAGGTTCAATGACATCAATTGGTCCATCTTGGTAAAGGGCATGGGAAGCTTCGTGTGCTGCTATTGTGATGTGTGTATACATTTGAATTCTATCCAGATACAAAGTTACAATAAAATAATCAGAGCACCTGGTGATTTACGAGGGCAGGGCTTTCTGGCTGTTGTGTCCATTGCTCTGACTCACTACCAAGTCCAGGGTTTTGCCCATAATCGGTGCTCAGTCAGTGCTTGTTGACTGAATAATAGGCTCTCAGTGAATGGTAGCAAGTGTTAGTGAGTGTGGCCTCTCACTAGCAGGACCAACTAGGCAGCTCCGAGTCCTGTATAATGACATGTTCTCCAGCGCCTTCGCTGGTCCCTCTCAGCCTTTCGTTCACTTCACGGCACCGTCTGAGTGCCTTACTGCCTAAGGGATGCAAGGAGCTGTGCCGGGTGCCAGGAGTTCAGGCTGGATTACTATCAGGCACCTGCACCAGTTGAATTTGCAGTCTGGCAGAGGAGACAGACGTAAGGCAGCTCACTAATGGGAACGACCTACAGTGGTGACAAGGGCTGTAGAAGGCGGTGTGGGAAGCTGGGGAGCCTGGGGTGGGGGGCAGATGAGAACAAGAAGGAGCTGCCTGGAGTGAGCAAAGAAGCTGGGAAAACACCCACCTGGAGGAGTAGATGGAGGCAGATGTGGGGAGGAAGACTCAATGTCCTTCTGTCCTTCCGAGTCCTGGGTGTGGACACCCTAAAGTGAAAGACAACTTAACAAGAGAAAAAAAAAAACCATATTGGCACGTATTGCTCACGTATCGATGGGTGAGAAACAATAGAAATGAGTAACTCAGGTGGCTTAGAATTCAGTCTTCAACATGACCTTAACAGGGAAAGGGGAGATAGGTGTAAGCCCCCAGGCGAATGTCAGTGATTTTTAGGAAAGACTACGGGTCCTTTCGAGGAACAGATGTAAGGTATGACAGCTTGTGACAGTTGGTCAGGATGCGGTGACTTCTATCTCCTCTCCTGTGAGAGGAGTCAGTCTTCCCCGGTCGACGGAACTCCGGGGGCGCATGACAACAGAGTCCCTTACGAGCATCAGCCTGAAAAAGCCTCTCCCTGCATTTGCCGTTTTCCAAGTGCCTGCAGCTCAAAATACTCTCTGTGCCCAGTGTCCTATGTTGAGGTGGCATATTCTGCCACCTTTCACAGGCCGCCTCGGCTCTTGCAGCCGAAGTTAGGGACTTGAGCCGCGGGAACCCGAAGGAGCCC